TTACCATTAGCTACCCCCAAGTATTGTGGTAATAATGCAAATCTTTAGACCCATGTAACACCCCCATCCCCTTGGCAGATTACATTATTTTTCTGGCCACTGGCAAATCCATAAAAAACCAGCCAAGCCAGTCAAATACCAGCCAGGTGGTAACCCTCAGTGCCCAGCACTGAGGGTTCAAACCCACCCCAGGCCTCTGCTAGCCAAGAGACACGAGACAAGGGTGGTCCCTGGTTTAGGCCCTGGCTGGACTGGAACCCGGGCCAGCAGACCCAGGAGAGCAGGAGGTCCAGTTCCTGCCCCAGACTCCCTGTGTGACAAAGCAACCTCCCCGGGCCTCCATTTATGGCCGGCGTCATACAGGAGGCCAGACAAGAGGATCACAGTGGGTCCTTCTGGCTTGGGACCCTCCAGCCCTCTTCACCGTGGCTCCCCTCCCCACCGGGGTGTTAGCTCACAGAGTAAATGCCTTGGGCCAGCCCCTGAGCTGGTGTCAGTGGCCAGCATCCTACTCAGCTCAATGAACCCTGGTCACTGCCACTAGCTGAGCACCTGGGCCTGTGTATTTCCAATTCCAAAGCCATAGACAACGCCCTGGGTTCCTCCCAGCACCACCAGTATATTTCTACCTCCTTCCCAGCCCCGTTTACATGCAGGGCCCCTGCCCACTTTGCCGTAGTGTCATTGCTCTGCATTAGCAGCCCATGCTCCAACCCCACTCTCCTTAGCGGCAGCACTCCTGCAGAACTCTCCCGGCCCCTGTGGGGATGGACACACAGCCCATGGCAGCGAGGCCCCGAGCCTGGGACGACAGACTCGGGCTGCCGTGTTAAACCAACTGTGCTGACCGCGCGGTTCAGGCTCTCAGGCCTGGGGGAGGGTGGGGTCAGTGCCTGAACGCCTGACAGCAGCATCTACACAGCAATTTTTAACACGGGAGTCCAAGCCCCGCGAGCCCGAGTCTGCGTAGGTGCACCCGAAGGAGCTGGAGGGTTCAGGACTAGCCCAGATGTCTGCAAGCCCCAGAGGGCTGCTTTCCCCCCTCCTGGCCAGGAGCTCTCTCTCTATTTCCTTTGCCTCTCCACCAGTGAGGGGAGAACGGGGCGCTGTGAGAGCTGCTATGTGCCTCCCTCCCCCCTTGCCTTGGAATGCACCAAGGCCAAGTCCGCAGGGAACTGGACCCCTCTTTCACTGGCCGTATTATTCCCCACACAATTGGTGCCTCCAGGCTCTGGCCTTCCCCAGTGACTGCCATTCAGCACAGTGACACCTGTTGGCGAGGGGCAGCTTCATCTCCCCCTCCCCGCCAAGCCCTGCTGGGAGCGCCACAGCCGGGGGGTCCAGCCCCCTCCGCCTGCCCCTTTCTGTGGAACGAAATGCCAGCCCAGCAGCTGCACAGGGCACTGACCCACGCAGCAGGCCAGGGGCGAGGAGGGCACAAGAAGCCCCAGCGGCAAAGGCAGCAGGCCATTGTGCCGCAGTATTGGATGCTTCCCCGTATTCATTGCGTTTTAATGAAGGTGCATTCCTTCGAGGAGAAATATTTACATTCGGCTTCCCAGGTGGTCACCTCTGCCCAGATGACACACAAACAGCTGCCTTCCAGGCCCAACCTCTTAACAGGCAGGCACAGACGGGAACCAAATGCTAATAACTCCCCAAGCCAGCCCCTTTCCTCTCCCTTGCGTGGAGTCAATGGAAACCCCATTTCACATGCTAATCCCCGCCGTTCTCCACACAACACCTTTTCCGAAAGTGTTTGGGAAAAGTCCTTGTGGGGCGTTTTCAACTCCCCGCAGCTCGGATTCCTTCTTGTCTTAGGCCAAGGCCTCTGTGTGGGTCTCTCACTCCAGCCGAGCTGCTTACAAAAAATTTAAACAAAGACTTTGGAGTTCATCAGCCTCCCACTGAAATTCACAGCTGCTGAACAAACTAATCCCCTCTCCAGGCCTTTCTTCCTTTCAATGGGTTCTTGGCTTCAAAGACACTTTGGGAAAGGACTTTGCAAGGACTCACACTGCTCCTTCAATAGAAGTTAGTGCAAGTATTATCCTGCGAGCAAGTGGCTTTACAAACAAATACAGCCTAACAATCTCGCCTCCACCGTGCACACACACACAACCCTCGCCTGCAGACATGATGTGATCTACAGCCGGATTAGTGCGTTCTGGGCCTTTGGGGCTCACACGCGGCCCCCTACTCTTTGGGAAGGCAGACGCCCTTCTTTCAGAGTGGAACGCGCGCTCCCTGTGCGAGGATGCTGCAGTACGGCCAGCAGTGTGGGGGCGTACGAGTGGAGATGCGCAGCCAGGCACCTGTAAACCCTTGGCCCCTGCCACGCCATCAGCCAACGAAGACCATAATAGAAACAGTTTATTAGAGGCAGTGTGGCCCAGTGGCTAGAACACTAGACTTGGACTCCAAAAAACTGGGGTTCTATTACTGGCCTGCTGGGTGACCTTGGGCAAGTCACTTTGCCGCTCTTTACCTCACTTTCCTCATCTGTAAACAGAGATAATGATGAAAATGCCTTGAGATCTCCACCTGGAAAAAGCCAGGTAGATTATTAGCACAAACATGGGTACCCTAACTTAGAAGGAAAGGCACTAAGTGCTGTGACCAGCCTGCAAACGCTTGGAAGGAGGGGGTTAGTTCATGGGAGACTTGGCCTTTACTCTAGGACATATGGGAAAAAGGGAAAAATTAAGCTGACATCAAGGGGTGCTGGGCTGTGGAAGAGCTTCTCCAGGGAAGACCATCACTGTAGCCCCATAGGTCAGACTGCTCAGAGCACCTTAGTAAGTGGCCTGGAGGGAACACCCCATGCTGGCTCCAGGGCATGGCTGGTCTGCCCTGGCCATTGCTTTTCGCAGCTGGGCAGGTCCCAGGATCCAGTATGTGTAGTTCAGGCCTTTGTGTTCACTTTTCCACTGGCTTATTTAAGGCCTGGGGGAGCCAAGTTGGGAGCCGAAATATTTGCATGAAAGTAGGAGCGAGAGGCACCAACTGAGATGCGGCCCCATCTCGCGCTGGACTTCACATACACAATGGGAGAGGGGCCTGCTCCAAAGAGTGTCCAGGCTTGCTGGCTGAGCCAGCCAAAGGCTGGGAGAAAGGAAGGCTTATTCTGGTTCTTTTAGGGATGGGGATCAGACACACACGGGGATTAAATGACTTGCCCAGGGTCACATGTAGCCTCCGTGGCAGTCAGACATGGAACTAGATCTCCTGGGTGCCAATCCACTGCCTTACCCACAGTACAGTGCTTTTTTCTATTGTTAGCAGGACGAGAGTGTGGGTTACATCAGCCCGCAAACAGCATTAAACCCCCCCCGTAAAATGGAAATACAGATTGTAAACTATTCCCTCCTGACTGCTCCTTTCAGCTTTGCTTAGGCCTACTGGCACCGGAAACCACAGCCCTCGCGCCAGCCTTCCTGAGGTGCCTGAATTGGTTCAGTGCCTTGCAATTCTGTGAAACCCACATGCAAAGTGAACGTGAAGAGCAAACTCTCTCTCAAGTAAAAGACCCGGGGCTGAGGCTGAGCACCCCTGACTCTGCTGCTCAGGATCAATATGCAGAATCTAGTTCCCAAAATATGAGACTCAGCTCAAGTGGTCAGGGGGACAGCTGTAGAATGCAGTTACCCTCGCTCCCCTTATTGGTAGGGGCTGCCAGCTGGCTTTGGTGAGCAGCCTGCTTTGGAAGGGACCACATCACAACCAATGCAGCACCGCTCCAAAGCTAGCTGGCCTGATGCTCAAGCGTGAGAGTTGGGAGAGTGTAGACTGAATGCCATCTGCTCCCAGGGCCAGGTGCAACAGCTTTGCATCCCAGGACTCTAAACTTCCAAAAAATATACCTGAGCGCTCCTGTCGGTCACTCCCTCAGGGCTGGGAAAAGCTCCTCAGCCATGCCCAGGTGTAAGCTAACGCAGGGACATCTGCCTGCATCTGGGAACAGCCAGGAACAAATGCTGCCATTGATAGTAACTGCGTGCACCCCCTCCTATCCTGATGAGCTGCCTGGTCTGTGGCGAACTGCAGCTTCTACTGGCACCAGGACGGTGGAGCTTGGACAGGGGGTGGGGAGAGAGAGAAGACCTGGGAGAGTAGCACCCATCTGCTGCCTGCAGGCCAGGTGTATGATTCTGCAGGGGGGTGGAAGTAGGAAAGCCAGCTGGTGAGTCTGACCCAGCGCACAGTACAGCCAAGCTTTGGTTCGAGGACTTGGTACCGCCCAGGAAGGAGAAGCCAGTTTGCCCTTGTGACTCAAACTCAAAATACTGAGGGAAACTAAAACAAGGCTGTAAGGCGAGAGACTAGTGGGGAAACCATCCAATGGGGGGAAATTATTTTGCAGCATGAAAATAAGTGCCATGAAACAGCCTGCCCCAGCACCCTTCTGCCCAGTAGATAAGCACACCCCGGGACACAGGAGCAGAGTCAACCCTACTTCGCCTGATTTGGAGCAGGCACTTGAGCCTACTGCACTGGAGACAAGGGGCCAGATCCTCAGCTGGTGTGACCTGGGGCAGCCCCACCGACTCCCCTGAAGCAATGCTGAGGATCTCAGCCACAAGCTCAAAGCTTGCACAGTTATATACCTGGGGGTGCTCACTAGTGCAAAACCCCAAAGATCTCTCTCTGCCCCAAAGCAGCCCAAGCCCCCCAGGCTGGCGAGGACAGATGGTTTAATACTGGAGGAGAGCACTCCGGGACCCATGTTGTCTCTATGCTACGGCTCTAAGTGGTTTGTAACCAAGGCAGCCTGGGCTCCCAGCATGCTTGAAAAAAATGCTGAAGCACAAACCATCAGGGGAAGCATCCAGTTTGCAGCAGTGTCCCAAATCAACAGCCAGCTACAGAGCCAGCCTCTGCCTTTCGCTCCTGAAGGCGGAGACGACCCCCAAGCCCTGTTGAGAATGGCAGCTGGCCCAAAGGGACCTCTCTTCATAACCAGAGGGAGGGCAACCCAGAGCCAAGGACCGAGATGCCAATTTCACAAAAAGCAGCTTTATTGAGGCACTTTGTGCTCACAGAGCGAGGGAGAGACACCCCCTTCCTGAGGGTCCCGGCAGAGCACCCCGATTCAGCAGGGGGTGCTCCAGATCCAATGGGTGGGAGTGAGAGGCTGCCCCTGTGCTGGATAGCAGGGTGTCAAACAGTATGGAAAGTCATAGGGCAAGCGGAGCGCATCACCGGCAGGGGGCTGGGCAGCAGGAGAGCTACATATGCCCTGAAATACCCTCCGCCCTCCAAGCGCCAACCCCATGGCCCCATCACCGCTCGGGTTCACTAGAGCCAACGCCAGCCGAATGCCAAGCCAGGGCTCAGCACAGCCTCCGGCTCGAACAGCACCATTCCCCACAGCAAGTGCCCTCCTTTTGCTGTGCCAATGGGCCTTGCAGGATGAAGGGGATGTGGCCCAGACTTGGCTGGGAGGGACCCACTGTGCCCTCAAGCTTTGGGGCCCTCCCCATGAAGGGTGAAGAGTTCAGAACCGGCTAGGGGATTGGCACATCTCCCACGTGTCGAAATCCCCTAGCCAGCTCTGAAATCCCAGCCTAGGGGCTTTCACACAATACTGGCTGGCAGCAGGACAGGTGCTCGTGAGGCTGGGGGCTACTCAGTGCAGCTTTCAGAACAAATGCTGCATGCTGCGAGGGAGCCCGGAGAGCAGCCTGGCGCTCCCCATGAGGAGTAGGGGAGCCAGAGAGCACAGGGGCCAGGACGCGGAAGGGTTTGGGTGTGGGGAGAGGCACTCAAGGGGCGCAGTGTGGGAGGGGACAGAAAAGGGAGCCAGGTGCAGGGTGCCGAGGAGAAGGCAGCTGCAGAGCAGAGGCCAGCACGCGCCCCTGCTGAACTGTCGGCCTAGAGGGCGAAGGGGCAGGGAGAGGGCCAAGGGGGTGAGGCTGAAGGGAGGTCCCTATGGCTGTGCGCAGCATGGAGAGCTCAGCTCACAGTGAGGCTCTGCTGTAGACAGGTGGTCTCCCCATCCCCGGTGGGGGGCGCAGGGGTAGCCAAGGAGACCCCTTGCTTTGCCTTTGTGCAGGTGACCGCCACGCTGGACAGACTCAGTTTGAAAAGCGGCTGAAGGGGCAGCCGGAAGGAGCGAGTCTCCTCTCATCTCTGTATGGGGCCAGGGTGGAGCAGACACACAGCTGGTTTGGGAGGATCTCAGTGCAACCCAGCTGGCAGTACTAACACTGACAAGCCGTGGGAAGGGAAGAGTCAGTGCCCGGTGGGGTCTCTGCAGGGGGACAGGGATGGCTTGGCTCCCACATGTTGCTCGGGAGCTGGAGGGAGCCTGCAGCCCAGCGCTCGGATTCGCCATCCCGCTCCGTCTCCACAGACTGCCCCCCGCCTCCACACCAGGCGCTAGACGTTCAGCTTGCTGGCGATGGTCATGAGGACTTTCAGGATGGGCATGAAGCCAGACACCTCACTGAAGCTGCTGCTACCCACCACCTGGGTGTGGACCAGCAGGCCCTGCTGGTAGCTGCGGGCCTCCATGCAGCGAGCGATCTCATGTAGCCCCATCAGGATGTGAGGGGAGAGCTGTGGGAAGGAGCACAGACATCTCAGCCTCACACTCTACCATAAGCCCCCCACGCCAACTGTCTGACCTGCCCTCAGCCAAGCGCCAGATGGGCACCTACAGCTGGGGCAGGCGGTGCTCAGTGACAGGGCCTGAAGGACCATCCCCACCCCTCAGCCTCATCAAGATTCTTTGGACCCTCTCCCTCCCCAGTCCCAGCCTAAAGCCAAGTCACCCGTCAGGGCGTTTGCTTCCTGCCCAACGGGAGGAGAGAGGCCAGAGGCCTGACTGGTCAGTGGGTGTCTGACATATACATGATGAGTCTCTCCTGCTGCTGTAATGGCAGCACATTGCACCACGCCCCAGCCGCACAGGGCTCCTGCACCCCACACGGGCCAGAGTTGGCACCGCTGTGGGGGAGTTGGAGAAGAAGGGGACCTCAGCTGGTTTCAGGAAGGGGGTGAAGGAGTTAAAGGTCACTGATCTCTAGAGGGCCATGCACAGAGCACAGCTCTTTGCAAAGGGGGCCAAGGCATGGGCACGCAGGAGGGCGCTGGAGCCAGCGGAGGGGCAGGGGACGGGTTCGCACACTTACAGCCTGCTCCCGGAGCTTCTCGTACAAGCACTCCAGACGCTGCGCCGCGTCCTCCAGTTTCCTTTTGGTTTTCTGAAGTGAAGAGAAATCCTCAGCATGGGCTCTGCCAGGGGAAAACCTCCCATGCCACGGCTGCTCCCACCTCCTCCCAGGGTGCTCTGCAAACAGCTGCATCCCTGGCTCAGTTTGAAACACTCAGGGCATGGACTGTAACAATCACCGCCACAGCACCCCTTAGCTGTGCCCCATGGGAAACATCCCCCCACTGCACCTGCCAACAATGCTATGCCTGTGATGACCCTGGCACATTCTACCCTCCCCAGAGATGCAGCCCAGACCCCGCACTGCAAGCCCTCCCCAGCCACCATGTTCCACAGCACGCAGGCCACAGCGGTTGCTTGAGAAACAGTCCGGTGGGCCTGATGGCAAGGCTGGACAGAGGCAGCCTCTGCCCGGCTGCTCCCAGCAATATCCTGCCCTGGCCTCACTTCTCCCCCCAAGACCTTCCCCTTCTAGAGACTCGTGGGGAGACAAACAAGGGGTGGTGTGGCAGAGGCCCAGTAGGGGCAGAAGTATCCGCTCTGCAGGAAAGGAGATGGGCATAGAAAGACTGTAGAGCATGGTGGGAAGGGAAGAGGAAATCCCCTGGGAAGAGAAGCAGCACCAGGGGACGGGGTGAGGCAGGGAGAGAAGTCAGCGTCTGAGTTGGGACAAGACCCCACTCCTCCTGGCTCCCAGCCCTGTGCTTTAGCAACGAGATCAACCCGGGAGGAAAAGCAGCTGCAAAGGCGACTCACGGGGTCGGTGGCGACGGCACTGCAGCGCTGCACCAGCCCTTCAAAGGTGGCCTTCAGCCCCTGGTGCTCCGGGGGCAGCTCCTTCCTCTCGATTCTCTCTGTGGGCAGCTGGGGAAACTGACACCAAATGAAAAGCAGCCAATGGCGGCGTGCTGAGCCCAGGGCAGGTGAACTCCACACCCCACAGCTCACTCCCCTGCCACTGTGGGGAACACATGAATGCACTTGCAGCTTGTTCCCTTAGAGCCTGCAGCCCTCTGGGGTCCTCTTGACTTGCTTATGCAACACGGCTCACTCCCTCCTCCCCTGCCCTGCCCGAACATGGTCATTTCCTACAAGGCTCAGGGAGCAGTCCTGGGGTCCTGGCCTCCTACGGTGGGGAAGAGGCAGATCCAAGCCCCAGTGTCACCAAACGATAAAGCTCTTACAAGCCAGCTTGCTCCTCACACCTGTGAGGAGTCTGGGGTGGGAGTGATGCCCCTGGGTTACCTGCATGCTGCCTTCTTTGGGTGCTCCCGGGGGTGCCTGGCCAGGTTCCTGGGATCTGGGAATCTGAGGCAGCAGGGCCCGCGGCTCTGTAGGGTGGCTCATTACTGGAGCTGTGATTGGAGCTGGAGGGGTGAACTTCTCTGACAACTACCAGGGGACAGAAAACAGCGAAAGAGGACTCGGTGCTGCCACTGAATGACTGCAGGCAACCCCCTGGTTCTCTGAACTTTCCCAGGCCAAATTCATCATCTTTGCTAGCTCAAGAGCCTGGGAGTCTGCAGAGCAATCCCAAATGAGGGCACAATATGCACCTCTCTCTAAACCCCAAGGGCCCTCACAACGAGAGCGGGAGGCCCCCAATGCCCAGCCGGTGACCAGGGCTGCAGGGAGAAACCCCTTGGGCTCTCTGAAATCATTCAATCAAACGGACATGCCACAGCAGCCACTGCCGCTCCCTAGAAAGCCGACTCGGCTCTGCCACGGCACGAGTCATGAATGCTGAGATTAGCTGCACAGAGCGTCCGGCAGAACAAGCGTTGGGGAAAGTCCCAGGACCTGGGGGTGAGTGTCTCCTGCAAATACTTCACCCCACCCCCAGAAAGCCAGGGAGTCAGGACAGATTCACTCCAACCAGGCTAGATCAAAAGGAGATGGCTTTAACAAGAGGCTAATCCTGTTGCAGTGAGCACAGCCTGAAGCAGGTTCCCAGCCAAGCTGCCAGAAAGCGCCCGGCGTCTGCTCAGCACAAAAGGGGGTGGGGGGGGAGGGTGCCAGAGCGCTCCTTATTGCACCTGCCAGCAGGAGGCAGCGATGGAAATGGTGTAGGAGCATTTGCTGTGGGGGAACTCAGCTCACAGATCCCCCTGAAGGAGTCACAGCAAGGGCCACTTGGCTGTGGGAGAGCTCCCAGCAACTCCGGCCCGAGGTCTCCCGCAGGAGGCAGTATAGCAGCACTCATGACTGGGAGCTCCCGGTTACTCCAGCAGGAGGTGCTGTAGGGGCACAGTCAAGCACCAGGCGGTGCTAGCAGGTTTCTAGCCTGGCTGTTCTCCGAACCTTTCACCCCAGGTGCTGTAGCACAGTGGCACTCACAGCAGGGAGAGGCCAGCAGATAGGACGGTGTTCGAGGTGCCTAGGGAAATGCACACTGCAAAACACTTGTCCTGGGAAACCAAGCAAGGACGGCTGGCACCTTGGCGCTGGGAGACCTGGGTCAATTCACTACATGCCCTCCAGCAAGTCAACTCTGTCTCTACTCCCCTATTTGCCCAGTGGGGACAGCAATAGTGACGCAGGGGCTCCCTGTCGTTCATTCTGTGCTCCCTGGAGGTACAGTCTGGCAGATGCTTTGGCCAAGGCTTACCTTTTTTTTCTGAAAGCCTCCCCTGAGAGCAGAGGGATTGTTCCAAGATTCCTGATCTGTGGGAACAAAGAGCAAGACACAGGCATGAGACTAGATGAGAACTCCAAGGCGGTGGGGCTCAATCTCTTACTGCTCTGGAAGCGGAAGGGCCTGGGCCTAGACCCACCTCCCCTTCCAACCCCCACTGTTTGGGTTGCTGAACGTTTCATGAAAAGGCTTTGTGGTCAACTCTGGGTCCACAGGCCACAGTCTGAGATTCCCCGCTCCTCCTTGGAGGATTCCCTTAATTCTGGCATTCAGGCACTGGGGCACATGTATGGGCTGCAGATAGTTTCTGTGCTATGTCTCATGCCACTGGCACAAGAAAAACACTTCAACTGTCTGCAGCTTCTAAATCTCTGCCCTGGCTGCAAACTTCTACCACCGAGACCGAACCAACATGTGTGCAGGGTTCAAGCGCTCCAAGGTCCAGAGCCAAGTTCCAGGCTTCCCACAAAACCAGAGCGTGGCCTGCGCAGTACCAGGGACACAGATCCGTGCTGTGGGCGACAGTGACAGTGAAAGGAACACCCCACAGGGCAGTCCGGAGCACTGGCAGAAATACAGGCAGGTGGGGGAGAGAGATTTTCCTTTTCCGATAGCAGGCTCAGGACCAGCCCTTGGGAAAGTTTACCCATTCCCACCTGCAAAGTCGATTTCACCTCAATAGTACATTCCTGGGGCAGTCTCTTTTGATTAGTGATTGTACAGTAGCTATCCCAAGGGGGCCCTGAGCCTTGACTGGAGCCCTTCAGCATTACAAGCCAATTAGCCCTCCTACTAAGAGAAGAGCTGGTGTGGGCACAGCCTCGTTTTAAGGCACAATATCGAAGGAGTCAGTGGAGTTAGAAATAAATGCCAGCTTAGTACATCACCAATCCCTATCTGCTCACAGGAGGTGGCTCATTAATCACTTGGGAAAGATGCAAAGGTACTTAGTGCGTTGAATGATTATTAGAATACTTCTGCAGCCATTCCTCCTGGCAGGTTTCAGGGATCACTCGCGGAGGAGTTCGGCTCAGTAGCTTAATTAAGTCTGCAATTATTTCTAGCTCTGGTGATTCCTAAGAGACCGTGTCTTAAAATGCTGCCATGCCCACAAGGACACTTGAGGCTAGCACATTCTGGCACTGCTCCAGGGCCTTAGACCAACCGATTCTCAGCCCTTCCATGAACTCTGCTTTATCAAGCGGCCTTTTACTTCACTCTGGGCAACTTACAGTCAGCATCAGGCATAAACTCAGCAGACTAGTAACCAAATCAGGCTTTTCTGGGTGCACCCTGAACAACTTGTCTCCTGCGGTCTTGGGAAGACTAAACTTGCCCAGGATTCTCCTTTGCCATGAGCAGCCCTTCCCCTGTTGCTGAGGAGCTCTGAGAGCAATGGAGATTTCTCAGACGACAGTCTGGCGCTCTCTAAATCTAGTTCAGCCACCCGTCACTAGCCGGCGTTACACAGTAGCTCAGGCAGGATGATCAGACTGGGGTCTTCGGGCCTTAAAATGGGAAGGCAATGGGGCACCGACCCCAGAAATCAGAAAAGTGAATTTGTACGTGATCTGTGTACACCCCAGCCCCATTAGCACCAACAGGAGCTAATCATCTGTGCCCTCAGACACGAGACCTCGCACACTTCATCCTCAGCCCAAATCCTGGGGCTCAGCCTGCGGGTCTCAAACGGCCCGACGCCAAGCTCAGCGTTCCTATTCGTGCCGAGCCCCAAGGCTGTTTGCGCCTCTGGCGCAGGGACAATAGTGGGGACCCTTTGTTCCTGCAGTTCTGTCCTACATACTGTGCTGGCTACCACACAAGAGCCCAATGCCCAGGCAGACAAAGCCTCACACTGCTAAGCTCCAGAGACTGGCCCAAGGGATTCTGGGCACATAGCCCCCTCTGTGCAGATCGCATCTGCGGTCACTTAGCATTACCCCCACTAGGGATGACTGGACAAGACCCCCTCCCCACAGCAAGAGCTGCAAAGCAATGCCCAGGAATGCAGCAGGGAATGACGGCTCCACAGCAGATTGTACCTAGGAACAGCGACAGGCATGGGACTGGGACTTAGACCTGCCATTGCCCCCCAGCCCAGCCCTCACTCCTGTCCACCGCTGGAGGGTGGGGAGCTTGCAAGCAGCTTTAAACTGGCTTTCAAATTCCCCTGGGAAACCAACTCACCCATGCCTCCCTGACAGCCCTGAGCTACCCTACGCATGGCAGGGACCTGCCTTCCAGGCACACCTGGGAAGAGCCTTGGGGCAGCCTGACATGCATAGTGCTGGGCTGGATGGAAGATGAGGGGTGAGCTACCACCGCTGGAGTGGTATCTGTTGTCAGCTGTGTGGGAGGAAGAGGAACTGCTCCCCGGCCCAGCTGACGCCAGGGTGAGAGCGTCGCAGGGGTCATGCTCCAATCCCTCCAGGGCTGGGTGGGAAGCCGTAGAGGGGCTGGAGGCCAAGGGCCCCTCTTTACATTCCTGGGCTCCAATTGCATTAGGTCTGCAGCATCATAGTTCCATCTGCACCTCCCCGAAACGCACGCAGTGCACTCCCAGATGGCCCCTCGGCGCAGCTTTCCAGTGCCCAGCCGCAACACTGACACCTAGGTTCCTGCACAGCCACTGGTACAACTGCCCAGGCGTGCGAGGCAGACGCTGCACAGCGAGAGAGCATGCGCGTGTGCAATGTCATCACATCTCACTGGAAGCAGTGGGACCACCTCCCCCGACTCAGGTAGGGGGTTGCTCATCGTACTGCCCACAGGATGTGGGTGGGGATCTAGCCAGGGGAAGACACCTGAAAATCAAGGCAGGTTTTGGAGTCAGAGTCACCATGAAGCTTCTAGTTCATCAGTAACATCTCAACAGCACCCAGTGACCATTTCATATAGCTCGATCCATCCTGAGCTAAGGGGGCGAGAATCTAGCCGCATACCCTGGGCCTGTTCCCTTTTGGCTGAGGCTGGATGCCAGGTTAGGGGATCCATGGAACCCCTCCTTCGGCTGCAGGGTCAATTTGGTTCCAAGGAGCAGTGCCGGATTGACAGCTCTTGGAGGCCACGCTCCTGGCTCTAGCCCAACACAAGATACAGCCCAGGCACAAACACTGCAGCCTTCCCCTGGGCTCCAACAACATGCTGCAGTCATGTCCAGCAGAGACCACCTCTAGGATGGTCTCCACGACCTTCATTCATCAGCCTCTCCTCTGAGGCTGCAACCCAGGGTGATGGTGTCACAGGCAATGCAAACATCTGTCCACCAGGGACTGGCCAAAGACTACCAGCTCGTTTCTCCTGGGCTAGCAGGTGGCAATGACTTCACATCACTCTCAAGCTGGGCTGGCTTCAAACCAGCAACCAGGTGGGGAATGGCTCCAGCACCAGAACCCAGGAACAATGCTCACAAGGCCCAGGAGAATCTAAAACAGGTGGAGAGCCCATTGGAAATGGGGAGCGAGGGGCGGAAGCTGGAGTGCAGAAGAAAGAAGCATTTTACCCCACAGCCAGGTGAGCAAAGATCTCTTCCTTGGAGAGAGAGAGAACCCATCACTCCCAGCACTTCTAAGGTACCCATCAGCCTGATTAGCCAAGCAGGGATTCCAGTGGAGTGATGACCCTTTACCAGGGTCTGAGCGTGAGTGCGGAGTGTCCCCATGGAAATGCAGCTGCCACTGAGCGCACACTGGGACCCTGCCGGGCCAGCTCCTCCCAAGGTCGTGGGGAGCAGGATGGAAACACGGAGGAGCCTGCCTGAGCCAGTCTTCTTAACCGTGTTTCACCAGAACTGGGGGTCTCAGCACTTCAGCAACCCCAGCCCTAATGACACAAGTTCTCTTAGCCCATTCAGGGAGCTTCAGTTGCCAGCGTCCTGGTATGACAGACCCTCGTTACGAGATCCCATCTGGGATGGGCACGGGCGAAGCCACGCAAACTATACTCACCGGTGGGAGGGGGAGGGATGCTAGGAGCTCCAGGGCCCCCCTGAGGGTAGCCCACACCTGGGGGGCAGCTGAAAGGAGCTGAAGGAAAAAGCATAGGGGGCTGCCCCGCTGTGGGGAGAGGACAGGCGGCAGGATGCTGTGCAGGGACCGAGGCTGGAGGGAAGAAGGTTGATCCCGGTGGTGGAATGCCAGGGGGTGCAATGGGCCCAGGCTGTCCTGAAATAGGAGGCTGATTGGGAAAGGCAGCTGGTCCAGCGAGTCTGGCTCCTGGCAGGCTGAATGGCGGAGGCTGGGACAATGCTGAAACCAAGGAGAACAGCGTCAGCTGGCAGTCCCCTCCTACCAGGAGGAGTGTGTTCCCCATGGCTCCCACTCCCCGCTTTGGCAAGCATCCTCCTCTCCCAAGCCATGCCCTGAGAAACATGCCCGGCCTTCCTCCCACATGCCCATCCCCAAGCCTCATCCCACCCCACAGCTTACTGGGGGCCTCTCCCAGGGCTCATGAACTGGGGGCCTCTCCCAGGGCTCATGACTAAGCTGCAGCGAGGTCCATGGGATCGGCAGCGCATGGGAACTCGGAGCAGCCTGCTCCCCAGACAAGCTGCAAGCACTATGGCACGTATGGCGCAGAGTCTGACGTGGGCCCAAAGTGCACGCCTGGCGCTCCCTGCCCTGATGGACGCAATGGCTTTATAGGCTGCGTCTCTGGCGCATACTCACCTGGCCCGGGAACCGTAGCTGGTGCCAAGCCGGAGGCGTACTGGCAGTAAGGGGGCCGGCCTCCTGCTCTGGAGTACATACTGGTAGTGGGGGAAATGCTGGCCTGGGGAGGAGCCGTGGGCACCGCTGGCACCGGCTGAGGCATGAAGAGTGAAGGCACTGAAGACTGAACTGACACCGGCGGGGTGAAGGATGGCTGGTACACGGGCTGTAATGAAAACACAGACACTGCAGTGAGCCCCACCTGGCAGTCCCGCTCGAACAAGAGCTGCGGCCACTGCGGGAGCTGCCCCAGCTATCCTATGACCAGTGGCCAGCCACTCGCCTCCCCTGCCCAAAAAGGGCACACTGGAGACTCCAAAAACAGCTGCCCAGCTCAGCCTGGTCGGGAAGCAGGCACCTGGCTTGGCTCCACTTTGCCAGCACTATGTCTGCTGGCTGTGCCAGCGCAGGACTTGGTTGCTTTCTTTCCCCATCAGAAGGGCCAGCTCTGCGATGGCACCCCACACTCCTCCTTCGCTCTCTGTTAGATCCCCGTCCGTCAGGCTGCGAGCCCCCAGGAGAGGGACCAGAGTAACCCCACTAGCCACAGGCAGGGTGAGGCCCTATGAGCCCATGGGAGAGGGACCAGAGTAACCCCCTTAGCCAGTAGCAGGGGCCTACGATCCCCTGGGAGAGGGACCAAATTAACTCCACGAGCCACGGGCGGGGCAGGGCGGGACCCTATGAGCCCATGGGAGAGGGACCAGATTAACCCCCTTAGCCAGGCGCAGGGATGCTGATTCCCTTCCTTCAGGCTGGGCTCCTGCTGCGACCTGGCTGCTGTGGAAGGAGGTATTTTCAGTTCATGACAGGTGCACCCATCCTACTGAAAGCACAAAGGAACCAGCTGCAGCCCCCCACATCTTCAACACGGAGGTGCAGCCTGCAGGACCACAGGGCATCACAGGAAATGTGCCGTCTCAGTCAGGCGGTCTGGACTAATGGGATCCAGATGGACCATTGCATGCTGGGTATGTCCTCTGTGCAGGCCACACTCCACGAGGAAGAAGAGGGCGGGTGCACTGTAGAGACCAGTGGCTTGTTCTTTGGTTAACCGTGTGCCCCAGAAGTGGCGAGTCTTTCCCCAAACTCTTTTCAGCCCATCAGCACTAGGAAGAGCCCTCAGCTAACGTAGTTTGTACCATTGGAGTTGGGGGTGTCCTTCAGTCAGCTGTGCCAAGCCGCCCGAGGGCAGCTACAATCCCATCAGCCTCCTTTAGCTGTCTCCTTCCCTCTCCCCAGTGCTTCTGTGCCCTTGGCACAGGCACCAGGCTTTAAGACTTACCTTCTCTGGATGCCTGGAACCCGGTCTGCGGGCTGACCCTTCCGGAGCAGAGCTGCTCTTGGCTGCCGGCAATGGGTGGCTAACTGGCCCGACATGCACACGAGCATAGGGGAAAGGAGGCGGCTGCTGATCGCCCACGCTCTCCCCTTGAGCGTGGAAGAGACGGTCTCGGAGCTGCTGGATCAGGAGCTGAAAAAAATGAGACTTAATGAAGTGCTTCGGGAGCCATGGATGGAAGGCTCCCTAGGGTTATGAATAACTCCTTAGCCCACTAGATGCAATACACTGGCAGCGGCATGAAGCCTTCATCAGTATGCAGCACCTGATAACCAATCCTGGGGGCCTAATGAGAGGCTGCAAACTTCAGGGTCCAAGACACCACCCTGATCTCAATTGGGAGAGCTCTCTGAAGCCATGCCGAGGCTCCTCAACCTCCGGGGCTTTCTCCTACTTGGGGGTCCCCAATTTTTTCCCTTCCTCCAAAGTGGATCACCAAACCTTGAGAAGCACCTTCCCACCCATGCCTGCCCCAAAGTGACCGCGTTTGGTTAAGTGCTGCCAAGAACTGCAAAGAGCAGCATGGAGATCCCCTCTCCTGCCCTGGCCTCCAAGGCCTCAGAGTAGACTCTTTGAGGCAGAAGAAGCTCCCAAGGAGAAAGAGAACCACCCCAAGGCAGGGGGGAAGTGAGTTGGTACGGGCCGGTACGGCATACCAGTAAAAACCCGCACCCGCCCGTACCCAGCCCACATTAAAGCTCTGCCGCGGCAGCACTTTAACGTCCCTGCCCCTTTTGCCTCCCCCGTCGGCGGCCCTGCTGGTAGGGTCCGTACCGGCAGGGCCGCCAACAGGGGAAGCAAAAGGGGCAGGGATGTTAAAGCACTGCCATGGCAAAGGACCCTGCAGCGCTTTAACGTCCCTGCCCCTTTTGCCCCCCCTCGGCCACTGACGGGCTGGGGGGGGCAAAGGGAGCAGCTGCCTTGGGGTCGGTGATTTAAAAGGGCCTGGGGCTCTGGATGCCACTGCCACGGCGTCCGGAGCCCCGAGCTCTTTAAATCGCCATGGGAGCCCCGGGCAGGGCGGGCCAGGCGGCCTGGAAGGGCTGTCTGGGGGATGCTGACCCCAAGCCCAGGCCTTTCCGCCCGAGGCCCCATCTCTTCTGGGGGCCAGAGCTGGCCATGGTACCGGTAAGTGTCCTGAGTTACTGTCACCCCTGCCCCAAGGGAAAGGTTCCACCTTAATCAGAATCTACAGCTTCCTGTTGCATGCTGGCTCTCTACACTGCAACTTCCAAGTCTCTCCAGTACCTTCTCTGCCTATCTATTTTTCACCTACCTCATCAGAGCTGCGGGGTAGATAGCTCATTGCCGCCGCCAAACACCCCTGCGATGCCAAGAGCCTGGCATATTGGGTGACCCGCTCTGCCAAGACAGGGCCCAAAGCTGGCCCCACGGAGCCTCGGAGCATCTCAATGGACCTGCTCAGCACCATCACTTTCTCCACCAGGTCCTGACAGGGCGGGATGAAGACACAACACATGCCGTAAGTTCTCCATTGAGGGTGAGCTTTGCTTTACTATCCATCTCATTCGGACACACACCGTGAGGTTGTGTAGGGCCAGAAGTCAGCCCATGGGAGAGAAGGAAGGTCTCATTGAACAATCCCGGAACAGGAATGAATTTCATGCAGCACCACCTATTTCACAGCCAGGAACACAAGAGCAGCAGCACTGCTGGGGTGTGAGATCTGGGATGGGAAACTGACTGGGCTAGTTTCCTGGTAAGGAACCAAACAGCACCTGCCAGCATCTCTTTAATGGGCTTTCCTCAGGGAGCTCCATGAGACAGAAAATCCCACCTTGGGAGGGAAAGGGTTAAACATTGTCCTGAGAAGGGCTCTCCAGGGCTACAGGACACAGCAGCAGAGCAAGCTATGGTGATTATCAGCTGGCCCTTCCTGGGTCGTGAAGGGGTGTCCCTGGCTCCCAGTTCAGGAGGGGAAAGGCCAGCTCTGAACAGAACCAGACGAGGCACTGAAGACACATACCCCATTACCCTATTTCTTGGGCACAGGGCAACAGGGCTGAGGGTCTCTGTGGCAGAGGGGTGTCCGGGGGTGACTCACTGGATGGCCCAAAGACATTGAGGGTTGCCCAGGTAGGAAGGGTGGTCTAGTGGACAGGGGTGCTGGGCTGGGACTCGGGAGACTGGGTTCCATTTCCAGCTCAATCACATACGTCCAGTTCCCCCCGCCTTGGGAAACGGGGATAGCATGGCCCCGCCTCTCAGGGGATTGAGAGGATGATAGGCAGAGGTGCTCAGAGACCATGCTGGTAAGTGACATCTATGTTCCTAGACATACAGATCAGCACCACGCCCTGTCCATTGCACAGCAGTCCATCCTGCCGCTGAGCACATGCTGATCCAGGCCCTCTCGTGTCAACAAACAACTTGCAACTTAACACAAGGCTCCTTTAGCCAGAATCTAGGCTAGGAGGAGACCCAACTCTGGAGAAGCTGGAGCTCAGGCTCCAATCTGTGTCTTTTGGGACCCTGCAGACAGATCCTAGCCTATGGAGGTTTCATGCCCACATCAAAGCACCTGTACCTGCAGAGCTAGGGGCGATGAGGTCTCGTGGTTTTTTACCCAGCATTTCGCCAACCTCTCCACATTGCCGGATGAGATGTAACATAGGCAGGCTTCACTGGACAGCACCCCCTTGCCTTCTGACTCCAGACGGGCCCCCAGTATATCTAAAGGGAGGAGGAAAAGGGGCAGTTTCCACTTATTTGCTCCCATCTGGCCAGCTCCTCCTCCCCCTGCCCAGCTCTCAGAAATTGTGCGATAACTTTACACACTGGCAACTTAGGAGCCACATGCAGAGAGTTAACAGGCCATGGTACAGAGGCTGGTGTCACCAATGAATCCATAGTCAAGAGCCTGGCTAAAGCTAAATAGGGAAAGAAACAATACAGCAAACCCCTGTCAGTCAGCTACCATTCACCAACTGGTTCCCAGCTAATGGCCTCCAGAGCTTTTATACCCCAATCGCTAGCTCATTCCTGGCCAGCCACATTTCCCACAAGGGCCAGCCCAGTCCTAGCCCTAAACAGGCTCTATGAGGAAAACTACTGAGCCCTCACCAACTGGCTCTCAGCCCATTCCCAGGCTTGCAAGTGTGTGAGGACTGCAAGCAGTAGGAAGAACCACTTGCAGGTGGGGTGCACCCCTCCTGCCTTCCCTCTCCCCAGGAGCTCTGGCCCCTTTCCAGATAAGCCCTGTACATATACACACCTTACTCAGGGCCTAGGCCTGGGCAGCAGCAGAAGTCACTGCCCATAGCTCTTCCCAAGCCATGGATGCAGGCTGAAGGAGATATTGGCACATCCTTGTCCCATACCATGAGACTCTGCCCTGCCTTACCGTTCATATAGCCCACTTCCACTGATTCTGTTCTTCCTGCCTTAGCCTGCAGATGGGTCATGCTCTCATTTGTCTTGTCTGGAACGCCCTTAGACCATTTTGGAAATATTTCCTCTCAAGATCCATCCACCTCTCTCTGTAGACAGCCCGGAGGCACTCTGCACCAAATGAAGCGTCCCACCTACCACAGAGCTGGGCATATTCCTCCTGCTTGGAGTACGTTAACAAGATGGCCAGTGCCTCCTTCCAGTTCTGCAGGTCACATGTGCAGATTACATCTCGCCAGTTCTGCTGCACGATGGAGGAAAGAAGCTGCAGGAGAAGCAAATGGCCCATCAGTCCACAGGTTCAAGCCTCAGATGCAGCTATGGAGGTCCATACATGCTCACACAGAGATCTACCTTGCACTTGGGTTAACGGAGTGACCCTGGGAGAACCCTTGGTGCCACCTGGCAGAGGGCCCCCCATACTGTAACTCCCATCAGGCCTGACATACTCATTCCCTCAACACATTGCTGTCAGAATATGTACCTCAAAGGTGTCCGGTAAGGTATCGTATGTAAACTGGTGACAAGCTGGTCCTGAAAAATCATTGTGATGTATGTACAGGGTGTTTACAAATTGTTCTGTATGTGTGCTTAAAACGTGTTCAGCCTGCCCTAGACAGAGGAACATGTCTTTACCTGTCTGACCAACTTGGCTACAGGCAGAGTACAATGAAAGTACATTTACATAGAAGGTAAACAAAGCCAGCAGGCTAAACAAGCTGGGGAGAAGACTGCTTAACAATCATGCTGGGGACGGAGTCTGCACCCCAGCAAGCCTTCTTGGCTCTTGAGGCAGAGACAGAGACAATAGACTTTCGGAGCGAAAAGACCTTTTAGTTACCCATCACTTAGGAACAGCACTGTTTGATTCAGTGAATGTTGGGTCCAGAGGGCTAGACATGCTGGTAACTTGAGGTGAGCAAGGGCTTGTCTACACTTAAAACGCTGCAGCAGTGCAGCTGCGCCACTGCAGTGAGCCAATGAAGACACTACATACGCCAACAGGAGGGGGTCTTCTGTCAACATGGGCACTCCACCAGCCTGAGAGGCGGGAGCTAGGGTGACGGGAGAATTCTCTCATTGACCTAGTGCTCTCTACGCTGATGGTTAGGTTGGCTTAACTACGCCATTCAGGGGTGTGGATTTTTCACACCCCTGAGCAATGTAGTTATACCAACCTAACTTCCTAGTGTAGACCAGGCCTAAGAAAACTGCTTAGACAAAGATTGTAACTTGCTAAGATTAAATTTTAGTCATAAAACTAGAATAACTTTCTTAAAGAACCAGGATTTAAGTGATACTAAGCCAGAGAAAGGGACAGGCCTGGGTACAAACAAAACACAGCACACTTGCTAAGCTAACAGGCTGGTGTGTGCTCTGTCTCTTTGGAGGCAGCAAACATAATACCAGCTGTGAGTGCCCAAGGTGAGGGACGGGATGCGGCAGAGAAACGTCTCTGGGGAACTTGGGCGCTGGGTTCACTGACTGTTTCCTGCAAGGCAAGGTTTAGACGGGCAGAGTCTTGACGTGTGTGCTGGCCAGGCAGCCAGGGAAGCAATGCACAGCTTCGCAGCAGCAGAGCTCTCACCCTTGCTATGGCAGAGCGTTAACACAGTGGCTCTCAGCTCTAGGTGGTCTGAGCAAGACGCCACACTTGCATGGAGTGTCCACATCACGGCTGCTCACGTGCGGGTGGGATGATATAGAATTTGCCCCCATGGTCCACCACTGTGCCTCCAGCGGTAACTGGCACTTAGTGCTTCCAAAGGTGAAAAGCCACCCATGCCCCTGTCTAGTAACGCAATGCTGTAGACAGAGGAAGAAGATTCTTTCCTGGTCCTTACAATGGTCGGTTTATGCCATGCAGCATGGGATTCGACCAGCTCTGTAGCTGCATAAGAGAAGTGTCATTAAGGCTCAGGTAATGTCGATGCAACCTCCTGAGGCAGAAGATACCAGAAGCTGGACACAAGCTGAAGAGAAGGGCGGAAATCCTGGCTCTGCAGGCAGATTGCTTGTTGGATGAGAGCAAGTTATATAAAGGTATCATGAGCGCAGTGTAAATACCTAGACAGAGCTGGAAATTAGATGGACAGAGCCCTCAGTTCAGCATTTCACCCCTGCCAACGCACTCTCAGGGGCATTCACAGCCACCCACGTATGCACAGGCAAGCACACCTGCCTGGGCCCCGTCCACCTCAGTCTGTTCTCTTCTGCCCCGCATCTCTGCCTGGATATACACTGCTGGGCACTCACCTGAGAAATCTTTGTTTTCCGTTTGGCAAAGTACTGCATCTGGGTCTCCCGCAGTAGCGTCTCCCCCCCAGCGATAGCCAGAATGATGGCATCAGCAAAACGGTCAGCCCTCACGCACAGCTCCACAGCGCCGGCAAAGTTCCCCACCAGGAGTGCCTGGCTGATCAGCCCATCCGTGTCTGGAGAGGGGGAAAGGAACACACAGCACTATGGTGAGCAACTGAACAGTTCATCCGGGGGCCACCCACCACCCTGGCTGCAATGAACTGTGGACACTAGTGAAAAGGCAGCTCTGCAACAACTGCAACCCATCTCCAGGCCTTTCACTCCAGAAACCACGTGTGCTGAAAGTGGATCCTTATCCAGTATTAGGGCTTGTCCGCTGTGGGCCTTCCACCGCAAGTGCACTGGTCAATGCCGATGGCACGGAGAGAGAATGTAGGTTGAGGTACACTGCACAGCGCATCAATGGGCCAGGCTATGTCACTTTATAGGGCAGCGGCTCCCTTCACATTAATGCGGGCCATGCAATACCTGTTGTGACCGGGATCTCCAATGTGCTCATGTCCTGAGGGACGAGGCTGTCAAAGAACCCTGAAGAAGAGGAAGCAGCACCCACTTCGGTCATGGAGCATCTTGAGCCCTGTGCAAAGAAAGCAGGGAGAGTATGTTGATGTGAGCCACACCCAGAAGAACAAGCCTGACCAAGACAATTTCAATGGATTACAGAGCTGGGTGAGGGTGGTTTGCGGCTGTTCTACCTGGCTGGGAGTTTCTTTCTATAGCCGATTTCAGCACGGAAGCTTACAGGCCGCTTCCTTAATATCTCCTCCACTGCACTATCACTAGTGCAGCTCTACCAGTGTAGCAATGACAGGAGTGCCAGCCTGCCCCAGAAGGTGCCAAGAGGACACCCGGAAGCTGTGCCATGGAGCTAAGATAGGGTTAAGGTTAACCCTCGCACCGAAGAACTGAGCGCTCCTTGAACAAGGCTTGTTGTAGTGTCAACAGCCTGCATGTCACCATCCCTTGCAGTGACTGCCTAGCCCATCCAGTCCCCCCTCCTGCATAACCCAGTCCACAGATCCTCACCCAGGGAGTCCTGCACTGAGCCCCAGAACTTTTTGGAATTTGTCCTTCTTGTTCATTCCTCTCCCTGACGCTCACTTCTCAGTGACCAGTGAGGAGTCCAGGGCCTACCTGAACAGGTGGCTGTGTAGCCTGAGCCAAGCCATCTGCCTCAGGAAAGTGCTGCTTCTCTGGGATACCATTCCCCAAACAGGACGTGATCTGTGAAGAAATGGAGTCATAGAGTCAAGCCTCTGTCACAAAGCTGAACGTGTGGGCAGCAGAAAGGCCAAGTCGCCCAAAGCCAGAAACAGCTCCATTGGCTTCCCCAAGCACTTTAAGAGCCGGTTCAAAATCACGCTCTGTATTAACCCTCCCACCCCATCACCTCTCCCAGCTCCCCTTGCTACTCAGCTAGTACAGACCTCTCTGCCCCTTGCCATAACACTGCCCTCACTGGTGCAAGATCCGTCTCCTTTGCAGCTCTGTCAGTGTTATCTGAAGGAGTATTCCAGTAACTTACCACCTCCTCCACTTTCCACACCTCACCCAGATCTCTCACTTCTCTCTAAGTATTAGGAGGGGAGTTAATAACATATGGTGCTCGCAGAGACAGTTTGGACAAAGCTGCATTGCCGTGATGCATCAGTTAAAGCTGCAGCAGAATTTTCCTTTTAATGGGACCTCTGTTTGTGCTGAACTCCTGAAATATCCAGAGGCTCCTTGTACACTCCCTCAGAGTCACCTGCTTTGGGACTCGTTCATGAGATGAGTGAAGGTTTGAGTTAGGGGCTGACACCTTGTAAAGCTACCCTGGGTAGGACAGAAGCCTAGCGATCAGAAGAGAGAGGAGGAACACTCCCTGATTCCACCCTCCCTGTTGCACCCACCCAGCAGCTCAGTGGGTTAAGTGTATTAACCTTTCACCTCTGGAGACCAGGATTCAAGTCTCAGCTTAGATCACAAGTAGTGGTCTCAGGTGCGCATCACCGACCTGCCACACAATTAGCCAGCATCCGACCTAGGCAGAGCCACATCCAGATGTGCTGGAGGAGCTGCCCAGGTGAGCTGGAAGTCAGGATCAAGGTGCACTGGGAGAGCTGAAGGGAGGGAATGAAGCCTGAACTATGCCCTGCCCTAGCCAGCACATTGCAGCACTAGTCACATGGTCACAAATGAAGCAAATCAAGCATGCACTTTCTAAGTCCACAGGACTAGTCCTAGTTCAGGTGCAAAAATGTTCAAGCTACACCTCCAAGTGAAACCTTATGGGAGGAATTGCTTATAGAATACATAGTGCGGCAGATACCTCTTTCCTGCACTCCCTGAATCTGTTCTTCACCTGTCCCCTAATTCACCTGCCACTACCCTAAAAGGACCCTCTGTGAAATAAAGACATTGCTTAGCAAGTAGGCCACTTACCTTCTTCTGCAGCTCCTCTTTACTATAGCCCAGCAGCTTCAGGAGTTTAGTCCTGGATTCTGGCTCCATGTTCACCTGGGCCCCAAAGGGGATCGGAGACAAAGAGGTGCGTAAAACCGGGCATCTGCATAGAGACAACACCCAGCTGCCAAGCATAGTGCTCAGTTTACAGATTAGCACCAGGGGACCCTGGGTGCTCCTTGGGACCTGGAATAAGCTGCCCTTTGGAAGATGAAGTCTGAGACTTTGCTAACCTTGTCTACCCCAGCAATGCAATAAAACCTGGTTATCGCATTCTGTCAAACACATTGCGCGCAGACACTGATTAACTAACAGGGGTATTGCTCACTTTAACACACTACACTTGCTTTAGCCAGCTACGCTACAGTAACGAACTCCACACTGCAGGATCACTCCTGTAAGCTGCAGTGCTTTGGAACGGTCCTTGAAAGTACTGCTGTTATGTGAGAAGAGATGCCTATAGCACTCGTCAGGCAGCACAGGCCAGTGGACAGAGCACTGGTCTGGGAGTCAGGAGATCTGTGTCACTATGGGCAAGTCACGTCTCTCTGTGCCTCAGTTTCTCCAAGTGTAAAATGGGACTTCTGTAAAGCTCTCTGAGATCTAGGCATGGAGAATTCTGTATAAGCACTAAGTACTATCACAGCTCACGGACGTGTGTTACTGATTTCCTCTCTCACAACATGGCCTGCTTGCGATCCCCAGGCCACAGTTTGAGAAGGCAGCACTATCTACTAGAGAGAAAACTGGACTGGACCAGTGAATGGAGCAGGCTGCTATCTCCAATTGTAGTCTGTGGCCGACAGTGGTACATGGAACACAGAGTCGTTTTGGTCCCAATGGGTGAGACGTTGGGTGGGATTTGAAGGTGATCACCCAATATAAGAAGGGTCTAAATCAAGCAGTTTACTCAGGGCCAGATTCTCTCGTGTTTACTCGTGTTGAGTAGGACCTTATTCCTCCAGCCAGCCTCATTTAAGTCAATGGGACTACTTGTGGAGTAAGGTACGGTTCCATTTGAGGAAGGGGATCAGATTCCAGCCCTCAGACCGTCTGAAGTCAAAGCTCCCAGTGACGATGTTGGGAGTTCTGACCGAGTGCGGACAGAGGATTTAGCCCAATTATGTCCAAGCTAGACAGAAGCTGATCTAGTTCTTGCAGGCCCTGGCTGGAAAGCGAAGCACTCTTGGCTAGAGCACCTCTCTGTGGCTGTATTTGGAGGGAGCAGCAAGATTCCCTGGGCCTCAGTTAAACACTAGGCAGGATCTTAAATTGATGGGCCTTAAGGACCTCAAATTGATGGGCCTTAAGGACCTCAGAGTCTGCCACGAAAGATAGAGGCAAAGCGCTCAATCACCTTCTGGATGGTCTACATGGCAACGGGGTTGAGGGAGGGAGCAAACAATCCTGCTGGCATCACAGCTACCTCAACCCTTCCAGGCTGATCTCAGCCCATTAGGGCTTTTGCCTGGGGAATGAGGGAGTGCGCTCCACTGAGATCACTACAGGACTAGAGGAGGCTGAGTGTCTGCCTGGCACTGCTGTGTACAGTATCCTGACTGAGAGCCCAACACAGTCTGATGCCAACACCGTACCTATGAAAAGGAGAGCAGGCCTCCAGCCCTCTGCATTTAGCCTTTAACCAAGGCTTTCCCCAAGCACGTGATTATGGGATGTGTTTATGGCTTAACTCCCAGTCAGTCTGTTCTGTTTATTGCTGTCCCTTGAAGAGCTGGGGATATACGAGGCCAGGGACAAGTGTGATGAGCACATGCAAAACCCATGCCAGGAATGCAAAGGCATTGCAATGAGGTCTTGGCCTTCACCAGGGCTGTCCTACCTTCAGGAAGTTCCAGAGGTTCTCTTCAAACTGCAGCTGGGCTGCTCGAATCTTGCTCTGGCAATAGTCCAGGAGGTTTCCCGACTGCAGGGCCATCTGCAGCTCTCTGGATCGGGCCAGGAACTCTGTCTCAGTAACGACTTGGCTGATGAACACCTGGCGCGGGGGAATCTGCTGCATTTGTTGTGCTGGGGCCTTGGTGAGGCCAAAAGTGATTAATTTCCCTCCGAACTGAGAAGGAGAGAGGGCAAAAGTAAGTGTCCATACACGTGAAGGTAAAACCAGCACACTCAGCTCTCGGGAGCTGAAGGGGCTTCGGCAGACACCAATGGCCCTGAACAGGGCAATCCCGAGGAACCCAAGGCAGACCACAGCTGCACACATACAAGATGCTGCTGTCTTCTGCAGGGATCAAACCCAAGACCTGCAGCATCAGAACCACAATCCTCAGTGACACCCACAGTCTGTGTGTGTGCAGTCATACATAGCTCACTGCAAACATCAACAGCACAGAGGACCAGCTGCTGATTGGAATGATTTTGCTCTGCAACAGAGATCATCAAACTAATGGAATACACAGGAGCCTTTATTTATTGAATTTAGTAATTTTGCATTAGGCCACTGTGGGTTCACCTCCTGATGCTCCAGTTTCAAGCTCAACAGAGTGAAAATCACAGCTGGTGCTTTTCTCAAATATGGAGACTCTAGGAGCACACAAAATCCAAAGACAGTGACCACAGACACAATGACCTTACTTGCATAGGGTTATTCCTAGGTCACCCACTCATGTCAAGCGTTCTTAAGCCTACGGCCTAGTAACATACCAGTGGGGGCCGCGATCGGCCGAACCTGCCATGTCAGCAGGTAAATAAACTGGCCCGGCCCGCCAGGGTGCTTACCCTGGCGAGCTGCGTGCCAAACGTTGCCGACCCGTTATAGATGAAATAGCATATGAACTGACCATAATGGCACAGAAAACAATGCTAAATGGATGACAGAAGGAACTAACTGGCTACAGTACTACTCTGAAATGGCATGGGCCAGGGCAGAGGCTAAGAAAGCAGGGCAGCAGCACAATCTGGGAGAAAAGGGGGGTGGCAGAAGAGGAGAGGGAGAGAATAAGGATATGGGGAGAAGAGGGAATAGGGAAAGGGGAAAGACAGACAATGGACTGGGAGGAAAGGCAGGAGAGAACAGACCTTGCCTACAAGACTGGGCTAGTTTCTGAGACTGGGCTAGTTTCATTAACTATCCAATGGGAAGGACATGGGAGTCAAAGAGCAGCTCCCTCCCGTCAGAGCAAGTCACCATCACTGCTATAGGGACAGATGTTGTTGGCGAGGTCTCTGAACACCACAGCAAAGGATTCCCTGCCAACGGAGCCACACAGCCCTCTACCAAAACTGACAGCACCATGAAAACCACAACGGTCTCCAACATGGGAACCAGATCCCCTCTAAGCCCCCCGTGGGGGCCATAACCACTCTCCTTTCCAGGCAAGGATGCTCCGCACACTTACTGCAAACGAGACCCCCACCGGCCTGCGAATCCACTTGGGGGGCTTTTTCAGTGGCGGGATCAAGGTGGTTTGAGCCACCTGCTCTGGCACCTGAAGAGGAGGAAGGGTCTGTCCCGTGCCGAAGGGGTCCAGGTTGTTAAAGGAGGAGGAGATCTGAGAAGGGAAATTTAAAAAGTTACATCTCACTCTCCAGGCAATAAGATCATTCAGCCTAGCCCAGTTGTTAGTTACCCTCGGTGGTGAAGAAACAGGACATTAGCATGTTCCTGGGGCAGTGCCACCACATCCTTATGAGAGACATAGCATATCTGGGATACAGACCTTATACAAACCTTAATTAGTTTTAGTTCTTAAATGGGTTCATCTTGAGAAGTTACTTCTCTCTATTAACATGAAGACTTCCCAAGAGAAGCTGTTTGTCCCACCACCCCACTCCTAAATAAAAAGATTACTGAATGTCATTGTCTCCCACAAATAAGGCAAACAACTGGTCATAACTTGTCTGACTTGTTTTTAATTTTGCTGATGGGGGACTCTTGAGTGGCTGTTTGTTGCAAGGGTCTTTTAAACCAGTTATTTTTTATAGGATTTTGTGTTGAACGTTCTGTGAACTGGCGCTATAACGACATCTCAAGACATTTTCGCCCAGAGGACACCATGGCAGCTTCCTCAAAAGTGTTCTGAGCTGTATTTTTACAATATTTCTGGGAGATCACACACATGCAGCCCTTGTGGCATGCAAACATTAACAATTTTTTTTAATTGCTGGCTTAAGCAAGTCCTTCCCCAGAACTGAAGTTCGCTATGCATGACCCAATTTGAACTTAACAGGACCAAACTACGTGACTCCAAGATAGGCCTCACACCGGAGTTGTCCGAAGACCCTGGAGGGAGGCAGGGAAGCCAGAGTGAGCGAAGACGACAAATAAGAACCCAGGGTAAGGCTAAGAAGCCTCACTTTTTAGGTCAACAAGGCAGCTGAGGGAACACTGATCTTCCAGAATCCCCAAATCGATCACCTCAGGGGGAGGCAGTCATCACACCACCACACAAGCTATGCCAACCCTGGACCAGTCTCCCTACACCCAGAAAAAGCCTGCTGATGAGCAGCATTAGGCCAGCCATAGGACCAGCTAACTCCTTGACTGCAGTTCTAGCTCTCATCTCAGAACAGTCCAGAACACTACAAGAACTGAGGAGTCTGTGACCTGCCCGTTACTTTATTTTCCCTTTTTCTATTTGTGTCCTTTGCTTGTATTAAGTGGAAGGTATCCCAGATTGGTTGATTGCACATTTATGTGTATATGCACCAGTGATGTCTACACAGGGAAAGTGCCAGAAAGTTCACTGGGTTTAATCAACTCTAAACAGCACCATAAAGATACCCATTAAAGCATGTCCTGTCTTTTGAGAGTCCTAAGAAACTCCAAGCTGTCTGCCAAACAAGAGTTGACAAACTTTGGCTTATCAGAATATTCTGCTAAGGCCTGTATTGTAATATTTCTGTTGGAGGAAGGGAGAATTGAAATCTAAGAAGGAAACTTTGTAATTGGCTTAGAGGCTGTGTTCCTGACATTAGTTGACAATTTAGTTTTAATACACCTCTACCTCAATATAACACGACCTGATATAACATGAATTCGGATATAATGTGGTGGTGGTGGTGGTGGTGGGGGGGGGTGGCTGCGCAATCCGGCAGATCAAAGCAAGTTCGATATAACGCGGTTTCACCTATAACGTGGTAAGATTTTTTGGCTCCTGAGGACAGCTTTATATCGGGGTAGAAGTGTATCAAAATATTTAACCTGCTCCAAGCTATAGATTAGAATGGCTTGGGTAAAATTCTTTAGTTGGGGTTTAGAACCAAATGGACAGCCACCTCCCTAAATCCCTTCTCAGCAGTTATAAGAATTGATTATTTGTTGTATTGATCTGATAATTTAACTAATTTTAGCATTTAATTCCAATTCAATACAGACTACCTTGGCAATTTGAACATTGTATTATCTTAGTTGTAGTTTGGTTTAGTAGTAGCTTATCTTTGGTGATAGGTTTACTTAATTTTAATAGCTTTAATAAAATTGATTAAAAGATGCTGATTGACAGAAATCTGACTCAGTAACGTGGGTCCAGAATCCTTGAGGCTCTGGCTGGACATTAGGTTGGCTGGCTAAAGCAGGACCACCTCCCCACAATTCACCTTTGGTTTTCACAAACACCATGTGGACCTGAGACCCACGCACACCCCTGCACAGGTGTGCTCACTGCAGCACCTGTGGCCACAGTGAAACAACGCTCTACCTTCTAGTGCCCCATGAACACAAGCACCAACCGCCACGCCATCACGCCCACCCAGCACGCCCGTTCTCTGTTCCATGGGACTCTACCTTGTCAGCCTGAGTCTTCTGCTGAGCTGCTAGGCTCCCACCCATAACAGAATAAACGTTGATCCACCCATCGAAAGAGGCAGCGGAGAAGACTGATGGATTCCGAGGGCACCACTGGACATCAAAGCACCACTGGCTCTGAGTGGGCAGCTCATAAATCACCTAACATGGATGGGGAGGAGGCAGAATGTTATAAGGAAGAGTCACTTGTTTTCCCCCAAGCCACTTACGCATGGCAGGTCTGCCACACATTCCTGATATCTCACCATGCATAATGCACCCTGATCATGATCACTTCCTGGTAGTCCACCAGCTAGGACACACTGCAGCTGCAATATTTCAAAATAACTAGCACAAACACCAGGAGTCCCCAGAGAGCTGCAGTGCCTAAGAGCAGAAGGGTTTGGGCTGTAGAGTGAAATTGATTTGGAATGTGTAACCGTAGTCAGTTTCACTCTGTTTTCAAAGGCTATGACTAGCCTTAGGGTGGCATGTATCCTGCAGGCACCACACCTGCAGCTACACACCACAACGGAAGCCTCCAGTAGCAGGGGGAGGCTCTGGCAGCAGGGAGGCAGAGGGACACTACGCTGCAAAACCAGTGCAGATGTGGGAGGCATGCCTTGGGTACACAGAGAGCCCATACAGGGTACAATACCTAGGGGTACAGGTTTAGGGCATTCTACTCTACTAGTCTAAGCTGCACCTCTCCATCCACACTGCTATTTTTACCCATGCTAGCTGGGTGTGCAAGCGTCTGTACGCGACACACTACCACAAGTGTAGATGTACTTTAAGTGCTTCTGCCCCCAGCACTCTACTATAGTAACACCTGCTGTCAAGGGAAGGAAACCCTCACCCAGAAGAGAAATAGCAACAAAAAGGGAGAAATAAACCAACAAAAGAAAAGTCCTGGGGTAGGATGGACAGAGTGCGTTCTTACTCTCTCCAGAAAGTGGGCATCAGAATGGTGTAGAGAATGCACCGAAGTGGGATGTTAAATGACACACACTTGGCACAGCATACAAATACATACCAGGCAGGAAGTGTGTACTTACTGCCATAGAATCAAACCTGCCACACACCTCACCAATGCAGGGGTTCCAGCACAAGATCCGGTTGTCTTTGGCACTACTGAGAAGGAGCTCAGGGTCAGCCTGGCACCAAGAGATAGAAAGGACTCCCCTGAAACAGACCAGACATAACAGTCACTCCATGAAAGCAAGAAGGTCCCACTCCCTATTCCAGTCACACTGTAGCAGCTTATGTGGACACTTTATCACAGCAGTAGCATTCTAGATCACTTCTCTGCCTCAGTCAGACTAGAATAAAACTCAGACATCTCTGCTCCTCAGTTCAAAAGCCAGACAGCCTGACCCTGAAAGATGGGAATCCTCCGAGAGGCAAAGCAACAGCCAGGCTCCTACCTCGTGTGACCCTCCAGCTGGCTCAAAGGAGAGGTGGCAAAGCGTAGGTCCCATATCTGGATCACGGGCATGCGGTCGTCCTCAGAGGAAAGGACCAGCTGGGTAGCAACTTCTGGGTGCCAGGCCATTCCCGAGCAGTGCATCTGGAGACACAACAGCACAGGCTGACAACACTGCAGAGCTGACTGGCAACAAATGAAGGCCTGGTTTACACTAATCAGTTAGGTCAACGTAAGGCAGCTCACCTCAACCTAATTATGTCAGTGTCCACACTACAGCCTTGTTCCACCCATATAAGTGCCCTATTACAACGACATAATAACTCCATCTCCACAAGAGGCGTAGCGCTTATGTTGGTTTATTTAGGGCGATGCAGTGTCTGTGTAGGCTGTTAGCTGTCTTGTCAATTTCAGGGCTCTGCTGGAGCTGTGAAATTGACAAGAAAGCCCAGTACCTGGGTCCCCAACCAGGCTGCTGCCAGGTCTCTGCTCCAAGCCAGGCTGCCACCCAGGCTCCTGGCTTGGGCTGCTGCCTGGGGTCCTGGCTCCATGCTCCTGGCTGGGAGCCTGGCTACGCCCCTCCCCCTCCCCCCCTCACCCCACCCCCATTCCCCTCTGAGAGCATGGCAACTGACTGGACTCCAGGCGTGGATCTCCCCACTGGAGGCGAGAAGCCCAGAGAGCAGCTGGGCTCTCAGAGGGTGAGCTGTGTGGAGCTGGCCTCCAATACTGCCCCCTCTTCAGCTGGTGGGAGTGCTTCTGGTGAGGACGCACATCGCCAACAGAAGGACGGTAGTGTGGATATCGGCCACCGCAGTAATTACTGCAATGGCTGTAAGTTGATTTAACATAGGTCAATTTAAGATTGTAGTGTAGACATGCCCTCAGTGGCCCAGAGACATAACACTTAGTACTTAACTCTCCAGAGCACTAGAGACCAGCTAAGTTTCATAACACCCCCATGTGGAAGGTAAACATTGGTGCACTAATTACACAGATGGGGGAAACTAAGCAGACAGATGTAGGGGCTGGCTCAGGGCCACACAGGAAATCAGTAGCAGAGCCAGGATTAAAACTCACAAGTACCCTGATCTGTCCACTAGACAACACTCCTCTGAGGAACAAGCTAGAATTCCAGGGCAAGTGCACCCTAGGCAAAGGGATAGCAAAGGGTCTCATTTCTCACTTGACAGGTTTCAGAGTAGCAGCCGTGTTAGTCTGTATCCGTAAAAAGAACAGGAGTACTTGTGGCACCTTAGAGACTAACAAATTTATTAGAGCATAAGCTTTCGTGGACTACAGCCCACTTCTTTGGATGCATACAGAGTGGAATAAATATTGAGGATATATATATATATATGTGGCATCGATGCCAACTCTGTCCACATATCTATGCAGGGGACACCATCATAGGACCTAATCACATCAGCCACACTATCAGAGGCTCGTTCACCTGCACATCTACCAATGTGATATATGCTATCATGTGCCAGCAATGCCCCTCTGCCATGTACATTGGCCAAACCGGACAGTCTCTCCGCAAAAGAATTAATGGACACAAATCTGACATCAGGAATCATAATACTCAAAAACCAGTGGGAGAACACTTTAACCTGTCTGGTCATTCAATGACAGACCTGCGGGTGGCTATCTTACAACAGAAAAACTTCATAAACAGACTCCAACGAGAGACTGCTGAGGTGGAATTGATATGCAAACTAGACACAATCAAGTCAGGATTGAATGGGAATGGCTGAGCCATT